AGTGAATTTACCCAGATTATTAATACAAGTTATTGATCCTTACAGTTGGCTTACGTTTCTCAATGTAAACACGTAACTTTCAGTATTAAACGGACGTTTTGAACTGTATAAGATCGTGTCTAAGATTGACTTTTTAACGTATGGATATTTTCAAGGGGCATGTAGCTCATGATGAGATTTTGTTATAATTTTAGGGTTTGTTGGAGTTTTTTATTCCACTTATTTGAGGAGTTTTAATTAGACGATTTGAGATGTTTTAAAAATTATTGCTAATTTTTTATGCACTGGTTTAACTGGCTCAAAAAAACCCCAGAACAAGTAGTGTATTTTTAAGTTTATAAAACGCCCCAAATCAGGATGTTTTGGTTAGTTTTAAAATTTTATCTACAAATACTTATCCATAAAAACTATCTCAATTATATCCAAACAAAAAATTAACCATATTATGCGCATCTCCAACCATATAAATAAAATAATTTAAGTAATCATAAAAAAAAAAAAAATTATTGAAATTCATTTTCTAATGTTTTCTTGGAGAAGTGAGCTAAAATTTTTCAATCACTCCAGATACTGCAAAGATGGAAAGAAGGATAAGAGATTTTATCATATTGAAATTATAAAATACTAATAAGTAGAAAACAAATAAAAAAAAAAACCCTTACTGTAATAGAAAAAACAAAACTCCCAAGTACTGGTTGAAGTTGGAGTATTTTTATGACCATATATGTAAATTTATCATTTTAAAATACGGTCAGAACCGTTGAAAATAAACTCTCAAACACAATTGGATGTTTTAAAACCCCTATAAAAACCATTCAAAATGTTAAGTGGTTTAGCCTCTAACCGCTACCATGAAAATCAAACAACCTAAGGGTGAATTGTAAGTTCAAGTACGGGTGGAATCAATTTTGTTCAACATCAACATGAAAGGACCCAAGCAAGAGTCGCAAACTCAAAATGCACAAAGTTAAAAAAAAAAAAAAAAAAAAAAAAAAAAAAAAAAAGCACCTGATCAGAGAGAGCATTCGTCTTGCTTGTGAAGAATGCAACTCATAATAATATGTGTGAATTTCGTGGCAATCAGATGTGTGCAGGCGTCTTGAAGGTGGTTCGAAGGAGTAATGGCCTGAATCCTTGGTGTCGTTCGTCAGCGTTGTCTTCCTCACCAAATGATTACTGTTAAAAGCATGAGTTAAGCTACCCTTAGCATGGCCCGGCTTGTACAAGCATGGAGATTATTGACTTAGATCCTAAAGGGGGTTATGCAGAAGCAACCGCGTAACCACCACTCTCAAACACGTCAGATAAGTCAAGTATAAAAGGAGTCCGTCCTCCGTTCTAGGGGATTATAGTATTAGTAAAGTCCAAGAGAAAAAAATACTATGACCTATTTAGAGAGTGTTTAGAGAGAATAAGTCGCGAAGCCAAAGTCCTTCATTTATCTCGCGAACTTCCCTTGTAACCTCATTTGATCCTGTAACCACTTCAATAATAGCACAATAGCAAATATGGTTTGGTTTCTATACACGAACCACTATAAAAAAAAATTTGGTCTTTATTTATCGTTTTTTAGGGACCTTGCTGGTTACCAGAACCACATATAAATCTTCAGGTCCCTTCCAAGGCCGACTGGATTCTATAATTGGTATATTATCCATCAACAAATTGCAATTGTTTGCTGATTCAATGACGTTCATTGACTTCTATTGACTAATTAATATGAAGAGAAAACCTTTTTTTCTAGAAATGGAGATACCCTGCACACATGAGGAATGAGAAAGCGAGGATGAAGCAACCCCAACACTTCAACAAATTCTCTCATATACCAACCCAAAGATTGTTCACGTTGTTGACTGACAACTAAATAATCAAATATACAAAAAATCATTTACTCCTTTTCTCTTTAACTCCAATGTCACATAGGGGTGGTAAACATTCGAGCGCTCGGTGAGACGCTCGACTTGACTCAGTCAAGCTCGTCCAAGCTTGACTCGGTGTAATCGAGTTAGCTCAGCTCAATTCGTGAATATTTTTGAGCCGAGTTCAACAATGCTCTACCGGCTCGGCGAACGGCTCGCGAGCCGAATCTGGCTCGAAAAGAAAGGGTTGATATAGAGGGTTTTTTTAAACTATGGGCTTTAAATTGTAATTTGCATTACTTAATATTTGAAAAATTAACAAATCCCCCCTATAACATTTGTAGAAAACAGATCTCTCCCCCATTTATGAAAATCCCTAAAGTGAAAAAAAAAAAAAAAATCCCAATCCACACCACGCTGTCGTCATCGCCATTTATTGTTGTCGTGCTCATGTTGCCATGTTTGTGGCCGTTTTGGGAGGTGATTAAGATTGGGTAATGGACCAACCTTGGAGGGTGACTGCCTCAACCTGGTCATCTCTTTTATGGAATTCATATGACCACAAGACTTGAGTAGATCTAAATTGTTTGCAGAGAAGCTACATTATTGACGAAATCAGAGAAATTGGGGAAGAAGTAATGTTGTTTATTATACTTTGAGAACTTACAACACTTATATGGTATTGTTACTAACAATTAATTGCAGTAAAAAATTAACTAAACAAACTCTAGTCAACTAGCTATAACACTTTAAACTCAACTAACTAACTATTACAACACGGTAAAGTACTTGTATTATTTTGGATAGGATTTATAGGATAGTCTCCTACATGAAATTTATTCATCCAATGAATAGTCTATCACGCTTAGAACTAAATATAAAAGAAAGCATGTAGATGATTACAAAGTTTCCAAGTTAACTAACTTCCCAAGCACTGCAGGGACCCGGAGAATTGGTTTGCTTCAAGGTCCTGTTAAATTAGATCCATGAGATTCTTAATAGACAATGTGATCTAGAAACTCTAACAGGCATCATCTAGACATGAACAGTACAAACATATACACGCACAAGAAGTATTCTAAGAGAAATATAGCATGGCTCTGCAGTGTGTGAATTTAATGGACAATAAGTCAATGCTTTTGAGTCTGCTGTCCGTTGGATACAGGAAGCAGGAAGGGAAGGAAACAGATAAAATATACTAGGATGAACCCATCTCCTTAAATAACAAAAAGATATTTTTGTTCTTTCTATTTGTCAAAAAGAAATGGGCGTTGCAAGTTCACAAATTTTAGAAAAGAATGGAAAAAAATATAATCAGCAGCAACTAAAATTTATGGACTCAAATCAGTGCACCAAATAAATTTACAAAATGAAGGTCAAACTTACAGTATGTGAGACTAGTAATATTCCCTAATGATCGGATATTGCCTGACAATCGGTTTCCAAAAATGGAGCTGCAATAACAATTAAGGATGTTTCATTAATCAATGAGACAAATACAATTCTATGTTTTAACAGATCAGAAAGGTGCAGATTAGCTTACATATATTTAATGCATTGAGCGCCATTCGTGTGGTATTGTACCATTTAAATAGTTATAAGCAAAATCACTGCAATTCAGAATTAAATTTAGAATGTTTCGCCTTTTCTTACTTCCCAAATGCCAGAAACTTCGAAAAATAACTGAATAAGTAAACGAGAAATATAAATATACATATGTGAAGACTTTATCTATTCTCACATTTCTTGGAGGTATGGAAGCTGAACAAGTGGGGGGGAAGTGTTCCTGGAAGGCTGTTAAGCATGAATTTCTGAAATGAAAATAAAACCCAGAATTAGTTCTATGGAAATACAATATCAAGTAGTCCTTGTAAGAAAGTATACAAGTTTTGATTTTTAACTTGGGGCCAAAATATAGAAATCTGATTATCTCGTAATGCAATTTATATTGAATCTCTCATTAATGTATAACTAAGATGAAAAATTGCTGATAAACCACTATCCCAATCGATATATAAGTTGAGCAAATTATGGGCGGCTAAACAGCAGTTCAAAGAAACACTACATTGATACAATGTGGCAGGTGTGTGAACAAAACCATTTAAATGGGATATGACCCAAAACAGCATGCATGACTAAGAACAATACTAAAGTGTTGATTATAATTATTTCAAATCAGGATAAAGTTAAAAAGATTCGTTAAGGACTCTGTTTAAGGCATTGAAGACATGAACAGCTACCTAAACAATTTGTTAGCGGACTTGTATTTGACCACGCAATCATGCATTTATTGAACCCTTTTACTTGAGAATCATTGTCACTCTCACTAGAAAGTTCTACCAACTTCTATTTTCACGGCGAACAGAGAAAAACAGATTTCACAGCCAACAATCGGCGAGACTTCAATGGGTCTGACGGCGATAGCTCTACAACGCAAATCCGATGAAGAACACGTTGTTATCAACAATACTATGAATTCTAAAGGGTCGGACGGACCAGTATGATTGGGCTCATGGATGGGTGGGTCAAAGAATTGATGGCCCCTTGCATGCAGCTTCTACTTTCTTGTCATATTCCTTGATTTAGTGTAAAGTAACTTTTTTTTTTAAAAAAATTCTTTTATTGAATTGAACATAGGAAGTTATAACACATAGCTGCAAGAGACAATCAAACTATGTGGGCTGTGGCTGGTGAGAGAAGCTTGTTTCTTAATTTCATATTAAATTACAATTACATGACATATACCTAATTACAATTGAAGCTCCTTTTCTTTTTTTCATGATCGGAGGTATCCGAACTAGCTTACGTATACCTCAACTAATCCTCTGAAACTCTAAAACTATCGTTCAAATAAGAGCACCAATGAATACCCTATTAGTATCCTAGTTTTTTCTTCCGTTAGATATAATCATTGTCAAAGAAAAATGAACCTCATGCATATCTATTAAAAATAAAATGAAGATTCAAGCTGTAGACAAACTTGTTAATATTAGCTTGCTGTAGGCTCAATTTCAATGGTGGTCCTCGCCTCTTGACACATTTATTAGGATTTACTATAATTTGAGCCTATTACAACCTTTATGTAACTTGAAACAAATTTTCATTAACCTTGTCTCATTATCTTATGTGAACCCCAAACAATGACACAAATATTAGCCATTCATGCATTGATTGCACTCAGTTACAATCTTGTTGAGACCACATACAGCCAAAAGAAAAAGAGAGAGAAAAAGTATCAGTATGGTCCAATGAAACAACAAATATACGTATGTTTATACTATACTAGGAATTGGTATTGGTGTTACTATGATCATGGGCCGAGGTTGAAGAAGTGCTTGTCCATGAAGGCATAGATGTTGAAAGTTGAACATCTGAACCACTGGTTTCAATCATTTTATATCCATCTTTAACGACGTTGTACCTCAAATATGACTCATCATCAATTGTATAGAAGTCCTCGGCTGATGTCGAATGCTGAGTTTGACTGCGGTTCAGTCCACGGAAGTCTCTTATGGCTTTGAACCTCAAATCTTGACTGTAACTACTTGTTTCAGGTATTGAATCTGGGATGGCAGTTTTTCCTTCCAGCATGCTTACAGCTTCGGACATGGTTGGCCTTAGTGATGGTGAAGCATTGGTGCACAAGAGAGATATTCTTATCATCCTCTCCGCTTCCTCTTTGTTGTATTCTGATCCCAGCTTTGGATCCACTAGCTCCATTATCTTCTCCTTTTGCTGTAACTGACAAGCCTGCAACAAAAAACACACCATTAATAATAATTATACAGCCCTGCAGAATAGTTGGAGGAATAATGTGATGTATAGAAAGTTTCTTACCCAATCTAGAAGACAAGTGCAATCCTCGGCTGGACCATAACTCTTGTTGTTTCTCCCGCTAACGATTTCTAATGCTAAAATTCCAAAGCTGTAAACATCTGCTTTGTGGGTCAGGTAACCCCAAAGTGCATATTCTGGTGCCATGTATCCTCTGCATATATGTTAAAACAATCTTAAGTGTTTTATGCTGAAACAATAACAAATTAACTTTCAATTTCTTAAGAGAAACATATGGGTGGCCTACATTGTTCCTGCAATTCGAGTACTGATATGGGTTTTCTCCTCCTCATCTAGCTTAGCCAATCCAAAGTCAGATATTTTGGGGTTTATATCCTTATCAAGCAAAACATTGGTAGCTTTAATGTCTCTGTGAACAATTTTGAACCTTGATTCTTCATGAAGAAAAGCTAAACCTTTAGCTATCCCAAGACAGATCTTCTGTCTAGTTGGCCAGTCCAGTTTCAGTTGACAATTTTCACGACCTTAAAACAAACAATATATTTCAAGACATATTATTACTAAAGAAAGAAGGAAGCATGACATATCTGTACTAGTTTTCAACTTTGTGTTTAATCTTTCTATTCTGCTGTCATCAATAAGTAATTTGCAGTAAATTAAACTTACCAAACAAAGCACTGGCAAGGCTGTTATTTTCCATGTATTCATAAACTAGCAATAGTTGATTCCCTTCAATACAACATCCATGAAGCTTCACAAGATTCGGGTGTTGCAGACACGAAATCATGCCTATCTCGTTCAAGAATTCTCAGTTTCCCTGCTTTGAATTTGAAGAGAGCTGCTTCACAGCAATTATAGTACCATCAGGTAACTGACCCTGCACAGGAAAAAGAAAATGTAAATATTCTTAGCAGATCATTGGAGAAAGTCATTTATTAAGAATGATATATCATTGTGGCATTAAAGATCAGATTGTATACCTTGTAAACAGGTCCAAAACCACCTTCCCCGACCTTGTTCGCAGGATCAAAATTGTTAGTGGCAGCCTTAATTTGCTTCAAGGTAAAAGAAATTGTTTGTAGATCTGATCCTTTTAAAACATCTGTCGAAAGGTAGAAAGATGAGTTAAAAACTTTCTTCGAACACATGATTGCAACAAATATCCTACAAGATTAAAGAAGACAAAACCATTTTCTTTACGCCTCTTGACTCTGGAATAGTATCTCCAACCAATGATACCCAATGCCAAGATTATGAGACATGATCCGACACCTGCAATGATTTCTACAATCTTCTTCTTCTTTGCAGGTTTGTAGTCTGCCCAAGAAAACCCACCAAGAAATTATTATAATCAGAAACATACATAAGGATTTAGGCATGAAACTGAACTTTATAAATAGATCACTTAAGAATACCATTCTCTTGTAATTAAAATTGGATGAAACAGGGGAAATGTGAACTCTTTGATTCCGGTGCACGTGTATTTGAGTTTAAATTAAGACAAAATTTATAATTTCAGCAATATATGCTCTAAGTTGCATATTCTCACATCTGTTATATGTATTTCTAATGCAAAACTGAAGGTAGATTACATTATATTGTCTTCTTCTTACAACAATAGCATTTATATGACATTGTTTGAACAAGATTGTATTATGTGAAATTAGAAGAGGAGAAATCACTCACTGGGATCCACCACAGAAATTGCTGATACGAGGGGGCCATAGACTCCCCTTTGAGGAAGAGCCGTAGTCCCTTTGCCAGCCCAATTAAAACGGATCTGTAAAATGTTATCTGTGACAGTAGCATTATATTTTCTTGTAACTGGCTTCAGAACCCCTGAAGCTTTAGCTTCTATGTCGAAATCCCTCTCGACTAGTTTGTCCTGCAAAATAAGAATCCGGTGAAACCTTTTCAGTATGTCATTTCCTGTAAGGAACTAACTCCAGCTGAACCTATGACCCAAAACTGTTGGCTCCAAGAACATAGCAGCTTGAAACTTAGCCCATGCTTAGAATCATGTGTAGCAAGATATATTGGAAATGGATACGATTGATACCTGAATATAAATATCAAACATGCGCCTTCCAAGGCTGCCATATGTGTTGTCATTTTTGAACTGAATCTCCGCAAAATATAGACTGACAACATAATTCCCATTTTGTAAGCAATATCCAAAATAAGTAAGTGAAAGAGGAGCAATGCGAGCATTAATGAATAATTCTGAAATGTCTGATGATTGCACAGATGATGCAACATAATATTTGTTCTGTTCATCATCATCATCTGCAAAGTCTCCAGTGCTACTAAATCCCCAATGATCATTTGAATAATATGTTGCAACACCACCATTTTTATCTCCATCTCCTTCAAATGTGCTGCCATATTCTTTTACATCATTTCCACCACAATTAATGTAGAAAGAGCGCAGAGCTGTGAAAAGAAGAAAATGTGGAAGACCACCTCAGCAAGAAGCTTGAAGTTATTGTTAGCAAATGAGTTAGAACATTTATGTATAGAACAACAGAGATTTATTTGTGATCTTGGATTTCTTAGACATACTTACGTCGATGACATTTCTGATCAGTCTTGCATGGACGAACTCCACTTCTAGTTTGAGTAAAGTAAAAAACAGTTAGCATAATAGAGACAACACTTGAGGTCAAGAGCATACTCCTTCATGAGACTATGAAAACAAATTACATTATTTGTTAATTCTAAAATATGTTTACAGAGAAGAACTGTTGCTTTCTTGACAGATTATTCACAAATCACAGTCAGCAGGGACAATCTTATACTGGCCTCTGTCTCACATGGCAAATGTGCAAAATGAGACTTTAAAGTTCAAGAATCTGTCTCCCCTAAACCTAAAAGATCTTAGAAAACAAAGAAGTGGAGATGAAGATTGGATGATGAAATGATGAACTATACAAGCAAACTTCTTGATGTATTGATTGCTAAGGCTCACTTAATCAAAAAGGCCAAAAAATGGAACTCACAAGTTGTTTGCCACCGAAGAACTTCGAAACAAGTTCAGATCGAATTCCCTAGTAACATAACAAATTATTAAGCAAATATCAGCTCTGGGATCCACCAAATCAGAATGTGACACAGAGAAGTAAACACAGTAGATTATTGGTTCACTAAAATAGAGAAATTTACTGACTGTGCGTTCCGACAAGCACGGTGTTTCAAGGGTTGCTGAGTGAAATTATTGTAGGAAAACACTGCAAGAAAGAAAAAAAAAAAAAAAACAGAATTGATATTTCATATATGTAATAAGCAATTGGAGAAAAAAACTAATCAAATTCATCTTTGGTTCTAAAACTAATATGAGTACACATAAAAGTTAATAATCTATAAATGATTTCAATTAACTGATTAGTGTATTCACTGTTGTTAACATATTCAGATGCTGTAACAAATATAAATGCTAAAGAAAACTCAAAGGATTCGAATATGATACACACACACAGTAATTCCTTTTTGTAAGATTGGCTCTGGTATATTCCCACTGAGAAGGTTGCCAGTTAAAAGCTGATGAAGACCATATCAAGCAGTTAGTGTGCTGGCTTTGTAAAACAAAAACAAAATCTGGAAAATTGGCTTTCATTAACTTACATGAATTTCAAATCCCAGGGACTGCAACATTAGGAGTTTTCCAGTTATTTTGTTAAAACTGAGATCCCTATTGAAAACACAGAATATATCATAAAAAGATACATATGGAATTTATGCATAGAACTAGAAAGCAAAAATAGTACAAATAAATACTACACAATCAATTCCTTTAACTAAATAACCATTTGAGAGTAGGCTAAGTTGTTACATTGTCATACATGCATACAGAAAGTTAAGTTTTCAGTTTTCAAGCATATAATCATTGCGAATTGATAGTTTAGTATCTAACGTACTTACAGAACTCTCGTTTATTCATTTCCCAGACGTATCCAGGTTTTTCTCCCGAAATATTGCAGTTCCTCAAAGTCCTGGAATCCAATGATAAGATGGCAATTTGATGGTGACTATTTTCTCCATCTACATGCAAGAAATAGGAATAGGCAATGAACTTACCTCCTCTGAGAGGGTACTGTTCTAAGATCAGGAAAAGTCTGATTTGTTCCATCTATGTCACTAATCTTACTGTACATAAGAGTGTCAATGTGAACAGATCCTTCATCAGCACCATTATGGTAAATTAATCTGATAAGTTAATGTATTAAATAATGCATATTCTTGTAGTTGACTAGTTAGAATATTCACTCACAATTGATTTAGATTTTCCAAAGGGAAGGATGATGGAATTGGTCCTTTAGTCCACTACCTTGAATTTCCCTGCATCAACCCAAAATCAAGAACATTCGAGAAACCGAATATGAGTCGAAAATCTTTAGGAAAGTAGATCATCTCCAATCGATAAAGTTGCTTCCAGTTTTGTATAAATTTCTGGTATCTTCCATTGAAGTTGTTTATCATTGATCCTACTGCAATGTGCAACAAGAAAGCAGTAAAACTTAATTATCACTTATCAGACAAATTCTGAACTCACTCTACAAAACGATATAAGAAAAACTTACAAGTCTCAAAATTTTCAGCTCAGCAAATTCCGTCGGTAAATTTCCAGTCAATCTATTGAGGAAGTCTCCTGCAGCCAAAATTTAATTGATAACTTCAATAAAATGTTGATCATGAGAAAAAACAACAAAATATAAGAACCACGGTAAATGACTTCAAAGTTCCCAAATTCAAGCTTCCCTAGCTGCGCGGGCACTGTTCCTGAATTGGTTTGCTTCAATGTCCCTGGTAATAGAAACTATAATAGCCAATAGAATATTTGTCTAACCTCCAACAGACTAATGGACTATACCATTAGATTATTGCTAGAATCAATTTGTGAATTGTATAGAGTTCAAACTTCAAAACTTACAAGTAAGTGAGACTGATGATGTTGCCCAATTGGCTCGGAATATTGCCTGATAATCGTTCCAAAGAGAGAGCTGCATTGATAATTGCCAATAGTTGATGAATTCACATATTCAACTATTGGGTTAGCGAAAAATGCTATCCTTACAAGAAAATACAAAAGGGACTACAAAGTGATGTCAACAGAAAAAAAAAAAAAAGAAAGAACGGAAAAAAGAAGAAAGGAAATCTAAAGATCAAGGTAACAATTGTCTTGTATGCCTCTTTTGTATTTATCTTTATAAGACTGGCATTGCTCTTTGTAGTATAATATAAGTCAGATATAAATGCAGCTTACAAATGTCAACTGCATCGAAGCCCATTCGACTGGTATCGAACATTCAGTAGTTGTAGGAAAAATCACTGACAAACAAACAAGAACATTGACTAATTTAGTGTGTTTCACCTTACCTATTTAGAGATTCAATTAAGACAAAACAGACGCCATGAAAATGAAAGAATTGAAGTCCGCCATTGGATCCTAAATTTCCTTTCTGTTCATGCTTCTTCCTTCCTAATTACAAGGAAAAAAAAATGTGTATATTTTTAAAAATACATATTCAGATTTGTTTAGCTCACACTTTAGAGATATTGGGAAGCTGGTTCAGTTCTGGTGGAAGAACTCCAGAAAGGCTGTAACGTTTGAATTCTCTGAAGATTGAAACAAAACTATCCAGAATCAGTTAGTCACACCCTAAAAATCCAAAATCAGGTACAAATCACAATTAAATGATATTCTGTAGTTTAGAAGATGGTAAATATTCTACTATTTGTCAAAACAACAATGAAATTAAATAGAAAATATTGACAGATTGAATTTATAATCTATAAAGTGCTTGCCCTTTAAAATCTGTAATTTAATATTGTTGTTTGAAACTTTTCAGCGGTACCACATTACACAAATGGTTGTTCTACTTCAATGAGCATAAAATCAAGCAATTCCATTCTTAATGGATATACTACAACTTTGTATATTTCCTCAGGATTTTTTCCAGAAGGCATTTGCCGATTTCCAAGAACAATTTACCCTAGGAAATGGACTTTACTGAAGTGTATACACACAAAGAGATGGGCAAATACATACAGAGAATAAAAATAACATTACTGAAATGTGGTGTGTACATTATCGGGTCCAAGGATGCAAGAAATTTCCTGTTAATTCTGTCACAGCCGATTTCTCATGGAATTCACAAGCAGTATCGGCATCAAATTCCAGTTAGTAGCTCCCATGTTTTGACGATTTGATTCAGAACATCAACTACAGCACATCACAGACAAACACAGCAACAGTAAGCAAATCAAATTTAATTCAAATGAGGGTGTAAATTGAAACAGACTAACTAATGGCGCCCAAGCCTAGAGAAGATAAATTATTATATGATCAACGTTATATAAAATAAAACACAATAAATTAGAAGAATCTGAAGACTTGATCAAATGAAGTACAGGATTTTACAGAGAACATAATCTGACAGTACTACACACTATTTAATATCTCTCTTTTCCTGAAAGTTCTTATATGTTTTTTTATTGAAAACTCAGTCAATATGCTTGTACAAAACTATAAAGTTAACCATGAACAAGTGAAATTCAAGCGAAACAGAAATTGGGGAAGAGAATTTGTCTTACCCTCGGCTTGAGGCAGCTTAGCAGCTACAAATAGTTGTTTTCACTACACAACTTAAAGTTAGAATCGATACGAGTAAATTCTTGAAGAACATCATTGAAATTGAAAAACTCAGAAGATGCCTTGAACTCTCAAGCTTCTGAAGTTAAACTCCCCGTTTCCTGTCTTTTCTTAGCTAAACATGAATCTATTTCGTTTTGATCTTCTTTATATTTTATGTAAAAGTAGAATGTTATGAATGAGAAAATTCTAAGTATAATTATGCAAGACAATGAAACTAACCATCGAGTAAGATGTTTAACTAATTAATATTTGGATGTCGTTTTCTATGCATTAAAAATGAAACCGCGTACGAACATAGCATAGCTGACACAAGATACTTAAACGTAATATTTCAATAGCAGACTGACTAAATATGCAAAGCCGGATTGGACGGTATGTTGTCTGGTTTCAATTAACGAGTTTGCAGTATTTGAATATTCTTAGTTTTGGTAAACAACGGTTGGTTAGTTGCTTTGGAAAATCTTTGACGATTAATAAAATCGTATGACGATCCTACCTCCATGCCGGTGGCCGGTTGGTGAGGTGCTATGATTTAATTTAACAGTGCAAGTCCTAGGAAAACTCCTCCATGCTAACTCCCACACCAACATCTTGAATTGAGAGCTATATATTCAAGTTACTGGCTGCAGAGATTCAACTATGGAGTCCTTGGCTTGCGGATTCTGTCACTCAGTCACGCTTAGCCAAAAACACCCCACTGGAAGAATATTTATTATGAAAATATGGTCAAAATTGGTGTTAAATGAGACCTGTTGGGGTTCTTGAAGAAGATTCACTATTGTTTTGATCAGTATTTAGCAACTCATTAACCTCATGGCTTGGGACTAGATTTAATCCAAAAGATTAAGAGGAAAAAATTGCATATCCAATAACGCTAATGAAACAACTGTTAGATTAATTTATGTCTATACTTTTTTTTTTTTTATTATTTGTCTATACTTTTTTTTTTTAATGATCAGGAGTGTCCGAGCTAGCTTACGTACACTCAATCATTCCTTGAAAACCGAAAACTATCGGTCGGATAAGAATTCAAATGGTTACCCTATTAACATTGAAGAGGAACTCAAACTTAGAATAATACACCCAAAAATACTTATGCAACCACTTGGTCACCCACCACCGAGGGTTGGTTAATTATGTGTAACTTGATTGTGGAAATCAGATTTCTTCCTCAAACATCGTAAACAGCATTGAAAACATGAATAAACTATATGATTCCTAACATTCGACAAGTCTAACCATTTGAATATTCTTTTTACTGCACAAATCGAACACGTAAACATGCAATTTTAGTCAATACATTCAGATATATTAAGTGAATATTACCCAGATTTCATTTTTAATACAAGTTATTGATCCTTGACCAGTTGGCTTACGTTTCTCAATGTAAACCCGTAACTTTCATTATTAACGGACGTTTTTGAACTGTATAATCGTGTCTAAGCATTGACTTTTTAACTGTATGGATATTTTTCAAAGGGTGCATGTAGCTCATGATGAATTTTGTTCATTAATTTTAGGGTTTGCTTGGGAGTTTTATTTCCACTTATTTTGAGGAGTTTTTATTAGACTGATTTGAGATGTTTTAAAACTATTATTTTCTAATTTTTTTATGCACTGGTTTTAACTGGCTCAAAAAAACCCAGAACCAAGTAGTGTATTTTTAAAGTTTATAAAACGCCCCAATCAGGATGTTTTGGTTAGTTTTAAATTTTATTCTACAAATATCTTATCCGCTATAAACCTATCTCAATATATCCAAACAAAAATTTAACCATTTATGCGCATCTCCACCATATTAAATATAAATAATTTTTAAGTAATCATAAAAAAAAAAAAAAATTATTGAAATCCATTTCTAATGTTTTCTTGGAGAAGTAGAGCTAAATTTTTCAATCACTCCAATGCTGCAAAAATGGCAAAGAAGGAAAGGAGATTTTATCATATTTGAAATTATAAAATACTAATAAGTAGAAAACAAATAAAAAAAAAAACCCTTACCTTGTAATAGAAAAAACAAAACTCCAAAGTACTGGTTGAAGTTGGAGTATTTTTATGAGCATATATGTAATTTTACATTTTAAAATACGTTCAGAACGTTGGAAAAAACTCTCAAACACAATGGATGTTTTAAAAACCCCTACTAACCATTCAAAATTGTTATAGTGGTTTAGCCTCGTAACCCTACCATGAAACTCCAAACGAACCCTAAGGTTGAATTTGTAAGTTCAATGTACGGGTGGAATCAATTTTGCTTCAACATAACATGAAGGACCCAACAAGAGTCCAACTCAAAATGCCAAAGTTAAAAAAAAAAAAAAAAAAAAAAAAAAAAAAAGCACCTGATCAGGAGATCATTCCGTCTTGCTTGTGAAGAATGCAACTCAATCAACTATTTGTGCCTAATTTCGTGGCAATCAGATGTGTGCCAGGCGTCTTGAAGGTGTGTCGAAGGCTGGCCTGAATCCTCTCACGGTGTCGTCTCGTCAGCGCTTGTCTTCTCTCACCAAGTGTTTGTTAAAAGCATGAGTTATCTACCATTAGCATGGCCCCTTGTTACAGCATGGAGATTATTGACTTAGATCCTATTTTAAGGGGGTTATGCATGCAAGCAACCGCGTACAACCCACTCTCACCACTGTCAGATAAGTCAAGTATAAAAGGAGTCCACTCCTCCGTTCTAGGGGATTAGTATTAGTAAAGTCCAAGAGAAATACATTGACCTATTTCAGGAGTGTTTGAGAGAATAAGTCGCGAGAGCCAAATGTCCTTCATTTACTCGCGAACTTCCTTTTGTAACCTCATTTGATCCTGTAACACTAATCAATATACACAATAGCAAATATAGGTTTGGTTTCTATACCACTGAACCACTATATAAAAAAATTTGGTCTTTACTTTATTACGTTTTTTTTTAGCGACCTTGCTGGTTACCATTAACCCACATACATCTTACCTGGTCCTTCCAGCCGACTGGATTTCTATAATTGGTATGAATTATCGCATCAACAAATTGCAATTAGTTTGCTGTTCAATGACGTTCATTGACTTCTATTGACTAATTAATATGAAGAGAAACCCTTTTTTTTCTAGAAATGGAGTATACCCGCACACATGAGATGAGAAAGCAGAGGATGAATGCAACCCCAACACTTCCAAATTTCTCAATACCAACCCAAAGATTGTTCCAGTTGTTGACTGACAATCAATAATCAAATATACAAAATCTCATTTACTCCTTTTCTCTTTTAACTCCAATGTCAAATAGGTGTGGTAAACGATTCGAGCAGCTCGTGAGCCGGCTCACTTGACTCAAGTCAAGCTCGTCCAAAGCTTGACTCGGTTGTAATCGAGTTAGCTCCCTCAATTCGTGAATATTTGTGAGCCGAGTTCAATCATGTCTACTCGGCTCGGCTCGAACGGCTCGCGAGCCAAATCTGGCTCGAAAAGAAAGGGTTGATATGAGGGTTTTTTAAACTATGGGCTTTAAATTGTAATTGCATTACTTAATATTTGAAAAATTACAAATCCCCCCTATAACATTTGTAGAAAACAGGATCTCTCCCCCCCCTTTATTGAAAATCCCTAAACGTGAAAAAAAAAAAAATCACCAATCCAGCACCACGCTGTCGTCATCGCCATCTTATTGTTGTCGTGCTCATGTTGCTCACTGTTCCTGTCGTCAGCCGTTGTTGATTGAGTGAAGAATTGGGTACTGACCATCCCTTGGAGTGACTGCCTCAACCTGGCTCCATCTCTTTTATGGACATTCTAGTGACCACCAAGACCTTGAGTAGATCTAAATTGCTTTTGGCAGAAGCTACATGTTATTGACGAAATCAGAGAAATTGGGGAAGAAGTACTCGTTTGTTTTAATTACTTTGAAACTTACAACACTTATATGGTATTGTTACAACAATTAATTGCAGTAAAAATTAACTAAACTCTAGTCAACAGCTATAACCACTTTAGAACCCAACTCACTATACAACACTGTAAGTATCTTATTATTTTGGATAGGATTTATGGATAGTCCCTACATGAAATTTATTCATCTTCCATGAATATGCTATCAGCGCTTAGAAACTAAATATAAGAAAGCATTGTATGACTTACAAATGTTTCAAGTTAACTAACTTCCCAAGCACTGCAGGGACTTCCCCGGAAATTGGTTTGCTTCAAGGTCCCTGTTAAATTAGATCCATTGAGATTCTTAATAGACAATGTTGATCTAGAAACTCTACAGCTCTATCTAGACTGAACAGTACAACACATATACCCGCACAAGGGTATTCTAAGAGAAATTATAGCATAGGCTCTGCAGTGTGTGAATTTAATGGAACAATAAGTCAATGCCTTTGGTTCTGCTGTCCGTCTGTAACAGGAAGCAGGAAGGAAGGAAACAGATAAAATATACTTAGAGAATGAACCC